TAATGTTAATTAAAAATAAAAATTAGTATATTTTATAATTTAATTATTTTCTATATTATATTAAAATAAAATGCTATGTGAAATTAATATAAAATATATTAAATTGGTAAAGTAAAATATTTTATTTTAAAATTTTCTTTTATTCACTGTTAAAACATATTAATTTTTTTAAATCATGTAATATTTTTATACAAAAAATGTTGACATATATTTTGTAATTCACAACAAATACATTATCTAAAAAATATATTTGATATTTTTTAAAAATGACAACAATATATTATATAAAATAATTAAAATAATAAGATTCTATAGTTATACAATATAAAAAAAATGTAAATGATATATCTGAAAGATTTTGTTATATTTTTATAAAATGAAAAATTACCCGCACGGATGTGCGGGTTCAAAATCTAGTTATTGTTAATACGTAATACTAGAGTGGCTATTTTGTATATTAATAGTTTCTAGAAGATTAATTTATATTAGTAAATATTTTCAGGATCGTGTATCTCGTGCCAGCTTTGAGCAATCACAAAAGTCATTATCTACACAATATAATGTGTGTGATTTTAAGTCACGGCGAAACCAGAGCTTACTTGAGAGCTTGATAAAGGCAAATAACGCATTTTTAATAGAGATAGGCTTTATTCTTTTAAATCAATGAGCAAACAACGAAACAAGTTTGATAATAGATTCAGAAAAACAATGAAATAGCAACAAAACAACTTTATTGGAAAAATAGAACAGGAGACAACATCAATCAACATCGAACCAGCTCATGATCAGTTTTGAGGTTTAGTGTTTAGTCCAGAGGAAGGTTATTGACCTTGCGGTCTACGTGCTCCCTGTACGTGATGTGCTTAAACTTGGGAGTCTCGTCGCCATCGCCTGTGAACTTCATCAAAGGTCCAATGATCATATCATAAGTCGGCTTCAAGAGAACAACCCAAGACATCCTAGTCTTCTCCTTGTTCAAAGTCGTTCTATGCAATACGTTCTTGTACTTTCCATTGCTCATTCTCTGTAAAAAAAACACTAGACTTTAAAAATAGAAGATTACTTTATCTGTTTCATTATAAATGTCACTTTAAGTTTTTGCACACGTATTAAAAAAACAATTAATTTTTATATTTTCTATATAAAAACATAATTATCTATATAGTTAACCACATTTCAATCAATAAAAAAAAAATTTAATAAATTATGCGTTGAAAACCGAAAACAACATTTATTTTATAACAAAAAGTTATTTTTACAACGACACTTAATATGAAACGGATGGATTAATATTTAGTTTCTTCGAACAAAATCAATTGACTATAGCTTACTGCAAAAAAGTTAATAGAACTGTTACAATGTTCCGAAGAGTAATTATTTTTTTTTTCTTTTGATATGCCTTATTAGTTGATGCGGCCAAGTAAAAATGCATTTAATGCTATAAAGTATATTTCTGTCCATAGGCTACTGCATGAATCGAGTCAAAAATCACATGTTACTGGACTACTTGGTAAACTACATAGGCTTAAACTCCAGCTTGGTGAGAGTGGTCAAATGAGTAAATTCTTTTTTTTTTACTTATATAATGAGGAAAACTACTGAAAAAATGCTATGGATTTAACTTAATGACCCATGTAATAATGTTTATTATGAAATTGACCCTAGTGAACCTTTTAGCTAGCTCCGCCATTGAACTCAAACCTAAATTTTGAACCCCAAACAGAGTGTTTTAACACATACCTAAAACTTGCATACCATTCGAGTGAGAAGTTGATTATCGGTCTTAATTATAATGTGTAAAGAAATTAATGATCACATATATCAAACATACCAAAAGCGGATCGCCAATAATAAAGACGATAGCAGAGGGTATATACTCGACGTCGAACCATTGGTCATCCTTGAACACCTGAAGACCAGGAATCTCATTGGTGACGAGAATAGTCAGTCCATGGATATCAGTGTGCGGTTGCAGTCCAAGGACTAAATTTGCTTGTGCACGACATGGCGGATAGTAGATGATCTTCATCGTATAAACCACATTATCGCCACCTCCAAAACCTTTGTTTATCAAAGCCTCATGATCTAGCCCCAATCCTTCGGATAACCAACCCAAAATCTTCTCTGCTAGCTTCTTCACGTATCTTGCATACTCTTCATTCACCTGCCTACAATGACCATTTAAAAGAAGAGCTATGTTGCAAACTAGATGCATCTTTAAGGAATAAATTTTTAGTTAACTTTGAGAAAATCGTTGTGAACAAACGCGAATCAATTCGAAGAAAACAAAAAAAAAGGAGCAAAATGTATTGAAGTAAATACCCGTTTAAATTTATATATTGTTATTTTACAATCACTTAGATCCATATTTATAACAATCTGGATATTTACAATTTTTTTTTCATTTAGGAATATATATTTATCTACCAAAAATTTTTTTTTTCTTGATCTAATACTAGACACTGGTGCATAAAAAATTGAGATACATCCAGATGCAACAAATATTACCTGATTGTTTGTTTGCGTTTATGTGTATACTTTTTAACTAAACTCAGACGCAAATAGTCGAATCTTTCGGTTTTTTTTGGCATGTTGCCAACTCTATTATTTTTGTTACGCAAAATTTTTAAAATTATACTCTTTCTGTTCCTTAAAGATACATATTTTAGAAAAAAAAGTTTGTTTCTAAAAGATTCATTTTTACATTTTTAATGCATGTTTTATTAACTAATTGTAAACTTAAAAAAACTTAATTGCACTAATTAATTTTTTATTGGTTTAAAATTATGGAAAGAAGATAAATACAAAAAAACTATTCAAATTTATTGTGTTTTATTAAAAATGTAAAAAACTAGAATATAAATCTTTTAGGAATAGAGAGAATATCTGACTTCTTAGCTCATTAAACGCAAACAATGGATCTGAAAAATGGCAGCCTAAACTTTGAAAAATGTGTGTTTAATTATATATAAATGTATATATACCTGTATTCTGGAGGATTTTTGGGCCAGTATCTGTAATCAACCCAAGAGGGTGGCGATAAATTGTGGAATAGAGAATCAACTCGATCGACCTTGTCTTCTACATCTTTTTGGATGTTTGTAACGTAACCTTGGATGTCTTTGGAGTTTTCTGGCTTCGCCACAGCTTCCTTCTCTGCCTCTGATGAGAGCTCAAAGAACTGTGTCCCAACTTTCTGTAAACTTTGGATAAGTTCCTTTGGTATCTCATGATTCACCACCTGAAAAACTCCCCACTCTTGGCTCGCCTTCACAACCGCACGTGCCACTAGCTCTTTGTCTACGTTGCTTAGATCAATGGTAGGGATAGTCGCTGAGGATACAGTTTGGTCCTTCTCAACCTCCATGATTATTCTTTTTGGGAATAGGTTTGGCGTTGAAAGAGAAGTTGAGATAACGTTGATGAATGGGACCTCTTGTCGGTGCATGGCGTTTTAAATATGAAAGGACACACCAACCACTAGTCCACCACTCGTTACGCAAATCAGACAGTCACAAACTGTATTTTGGACATCTTATACAATAAATTATATTAGATAATCAAGTGGTGGTGATAGTTTAGTGGTAGAAATTAACTTGAAATAAGATAAAAAAATTGTCAGTGTTGGTTTAATGTTCAGGCTCGCCTCCTAACAAGAACAGACGATAAAAATTAACAAAGAAATTTAAAGAAAATTAAAATTTCATTTAAGACATAACACTTGAGATCGATTAATGTTTTTACAGAACTACAGAATCCATACATTATGAATAGCAAGAAACCACATGCTGCTGCTGCATTACAGTCTTCTAGTCTACTCTAAAAGCAAATCACAACGATTTTATTTTCATCTTTAGAGACGTCTGTTCTTGTTAGGAGGTGCATAACCAGACATACCCATTCCAGGATCTTTCCTTCTCAACTGTTGTTGCTGCTGCTGGTGCGGTTGAGCCATCCCTCTCTGCTGCATAGGAACACTCGGATTCATCCCAGCCTGTGCAGGAAAATTATAAGCCATCACGCCTTGCGGTTGCATCCTCTGCATGTTATGACCAACCATTGGTCTTGGCATCGATCTATTCCCCATTCCATGACCCCCTGCTACGTTTCCTGCAGCTACTGCTTGAGGCGGATTAATACTCGTCGTGCCTTCAAAGTCAGTGTTTGTATCAACAGGACGTGTAGGGTAATTCACATTCTTCTCCATCGGTTGAGAAGCAACAAACGCGTTCCTTCCCGGGAGAGGATCCATCCTAAAATACTCATGCTCTAAGGCCTGTGGGGCTGTGATACGTTTCAACGGATCATACTCCAGCATCTTGGACAAGAGATCATAAGCAGGACTCTTCATGTTTAAGTGAACCACGTTGTGGAGACCAGCACTGTCGTATTTATGAGCTTGAATGTGTTGAAGATCAGATTGCCAGTGAGGAAGGTTAGCTAGCGTTGGCCATTTATCCACCGTTGGATGTCCCAAGATCTTGAAGATCTTATCAAGCTGATCTACTTGGAAAGGGTTTTGAGATGACTTAGCCTCTGCTCCTTGGAACAACGGTTTGAGAGTCAGCAACTCCGCGAATATACATCCAACAGCCCACATGTCCACGGCGCTTGTGTAGTGCTTAGAGCCAAGAAGCAGCTCTGGCGCACGGTACCAGATAGTGACCACAACTCCGTTATCTGATAACGGTTTCAACGGAGCTTGGTAGATACGTGCAAGCCCAAAGTCAGCTATCTTCACTATCCCATGCTCTTCTCCATCACCCATAACCAATATATTAGACGGTTTTAAGTCTCTGTGTATGATCCAGTTACTATGGAGATAGTTTAATCCATTGAGAAGCTGCCAAAGCAAGGATTTAACTGTGTACTGGTTCAACGGGTGGCCAACTTTGTCTCTATGGTGCCTGATGATCTCGTAGAGGTCATACTCTGCGTAGTCAAAGGCGAGGTAGAGAGACATATCTGCAAAGTTTATGTGGACGTTGACAAGCTTCACTACATTCTCATGTGAGATCTCCCTGAGGAGCATGATCTCTCGGATGGCTGTTGGGGAGACTCCATCTCCGTCTTTTGACTGTTTAAACTTCTTGATGGCGATTGGTCTTTTGGGTGGTGTCTTGGTTCTAGCCAAGAAAACGAGACCATAAGTGCCTTCACCGATTTTTCCGACGAGATTGTATTGTTGTAGCCACTCTGGTTTCTCACTAGTGCTGCTGTTTGAGCTGTTGGATCTGGTGCTACTTCCATCTCCCATTTTGTTTAGTACTACTCTCTAACGAAAGTCCTTACTATGTGGATCTGGTGCTACTGCTATCTCCCATTTTCCAAATCTTTAAAGTTTCCCTGAAAATTTGAACAAAGGTATGGTTTTAATTGAGCAGTACATGTTATCTATCTACAAACAGAGCTAAACAAGTTACATAAGAACCATTCTATCTACAAATACCTCTAAAACTCAATCAGGTGATCTAAATTAGTTACATGTAAAAGCAACAATAAGAAGATGTAGGAATCATCACAGACATACACAAACAGAGATTCTAATTAGTGACATTGCAGAATCAGCTGAGAATTCAACACACATCACTCAGAAAAAAAAAATCTTCCTATGAACAGATTTAGATCCTAAAGACTTTGAACTTTTTTTTTCTTACCAAATCTCTGGTTCCTCTCATATCTACAAACAGAGCAAAGCAAGTCAAAGAATAATCATTCGATCGACAAATACATGTGAAACTCAATCAAGTGATCCAAAGTGGTTACATGTAAAAGCAACCATTCACAAAATAACATGTAGGAATACACAAACCGATTCTAATTAGTGACATTTCAGAATTAGCTGAGAATTCAACACACATCACTCAGAAAAAAATCTTCCTGTGAAGAGATTTAGATCCTAAAGACTTCAACTTTTTTTTTCTTACCAGATCTCTGGCTCCTCTCATATCTACAAACAGAGCTAATCAAGTGATCCAAATAAGTTACATGTAAAAGCAACTAATATGACAATATTTCAAGATGTAGGAATAATCACAGACAGACACAAACCAAGATTCCAATTAGAAACATTTAAGAATTAGCTGAAAATTCAACACACATCCCACAGACACACTTCCTATGAACAGATTTAGATCCTAAAAACTTTCAACTTTTTCTCTTACCAAATCTCTGACTCCTCTCATATCTACAAACAGACCTATAGAAGAACCGTTCTATCTACAAATACATGTGAAACTCAATCAAGTACTCCCAAATAAATTACATGTAAAAAAGCAACCATCACATACAGACCTAAACACAAACCATGGTCCTAACCAGAACATATTTAGATCAAACAAATCCTTCAGACAAAATCAAAAACTTCATAAGAACATATTTAGATCATAAAGACTTCAACTTTATTTCAGCAATTAATGTCTTACCCAAATCTATAGCTCCCTCTTATATCTGAAACAGAGCAAACAGAGCTCATATAGACCCATACAACCCAAAAAGGAGAAAAGCCCTAAAAAACCCATACCCATCTCTACGGTGACCTTAACCTAATCAAAGACCTAAAGATCCGATACCAATTTCAAAATTTTCCAATCAAAGCTCGAGTCTTTATTTTTTCTAAATCAACGAGCAGGGAACGTAAGGATCTGACCCGATAAAGGCGATCGGGATGAAATTCGGAGGTCGATTTCAGCTTGACGAGCTTCGAAGACGGAGGAGAGTAGACAAAAAGGGAGAATATTCCGGTGAGACGGAGGAAGAAGAGGGATTACGTTATCTGAAACGGCGACGTTTTATGGAGAAGCCAACGCTGAGAATGGGAAGTAGATTTGTAACTTGGCCACTTGGTCCAATTATTTTATACTTCTTTTATTATTAAATTCATACATATTTTTTTCCTTTTTATAAATTTCATCAACTAACTGTTATAACTTGGATAATTTCTCATCAATATTTTATTTTATAAATGTTTTTTACTGTTATTTCATATATATCTTTCCATTTCAATAAAATCATCAATTTTACTAGAGTTTGGATATGTGTCATCAATATTTCATTCATATTTTATTAACTTATTATTTAAATACATTTTTACTTTTTAACAAAATCATCAATTCAGTATTAAAATATGGATTTTTCTCTTCAGTTTTCATACATCTTTTATTAAATGATTAGTAAGCTACTTTTTCCATGTTAACAAAATCATCAATTTACTATTGGCATTTGGATAATGTCTCATCAGTAGTTCATACATATTTTATTAAATTATTATTCAAATACATTTTTTTAAACAAATCATCAACTCACTATTAGAATTTGGTTAATTTCTTATCAATATTTATACAATGAAACAAGATACCAGAAATAATAAATGATTCACTTAGGTGTTCCCATTATTCCAGAAATAGAGTTTTTATAGGGGGTATTCCATTTATTAGGTGGTATACAAAGTTTAAATAAATTACTCCTTAAAAAATTAAAATTGATGCTCAAATACCATGAAAATATGTTTAGCATAAATATTCATAAATTTGGAATGTGCTTAGGTATTTTTAAACGACTTTAAAGAGGCTAAATAGTATATATAGTATTTATCCAAAAATTCAATCTTTTCGTAAAGGCTAACCTACATATTTTAAGTTAAATTAGAAAAAATGATATTTTTGTTTTAATGAATAGCTGCATCATGAACTAACATAGTATGGAGATTAAAGAGGTTTAATATCTTAGGTGTTCTTTTCTCCAGAAAATAGAGTTTTTATAGGGGTTAGTCCGCTTATTAGGTAGTATATAAAGTTTAAATAAATTATTCATGGGAAATTAAAACTGATGCCCATATACCATGAAAATAAGTTTGGCTTACATATATATATATTTGGAGTGTGGTTAGGTATTTTTAAACAACACTAAAGAGGCTAAATATTATAAGCAGTATTTATCCAAAAAAATTAATTTTATCGTAGGGGGTTAACCTACATAATTCAAGATAAATTAGAAAAATGATATTTTTGTTTTAATGTATATATGCATCATAAAATAACATAGTAAGGAGATTACAGAGGTTTGAGATCTTAGGTGTTCCCGATTCTCTAGAAAATAGAGTTTATATAGGGGTTACTCCACTTATTAGGCGATATATAAAGTTTAAATACATTATTCATTGGGAAATTAGAAAAGATGCCCATATAACATGAAAATAAGTTTAGCGTACATATATATAAATTTTGAGTGTGATTAGGTATTTTTAAACAACAATAAAGAGGCTAAATAGTATAGATAGTATGTATCCGAAAATTTAATTTTTTCGTAGGGTTAACCTACATATTTATTAAAAACAATATTTGTGTTTTAATGCATAGATGCATCATGAAATAACATAGTATGAAGATTAAAATGGTTTGAGAGCTTAGGTTTTTCCGTTTCTCCAGAAAATAGAGTTTTTATAAGGGTTAGTCCATTTAATAGGTGGTATATAAAGTTTAAATAAATTACTCATTGAAAAATTAGAAATGATGCCCGAATACATGAAAACATGTTTAGAATACATATATATAAATTTGGAGTGTGGTTAGATATTTTTAAACAACACTAAAGATGCTAAATAGTATAGATAGCATTTATCCGAAATTCAATCTTTTCTTAGGGGTTAACCTACATATTTCAAGAAAAATTAGAAAAATAATATTTTTGTTTTAATGCATAGATCATGAACTAACATAGTATTAAAATTAAAGAGTTTTGAGAGCTTAGGTGTTCCTGTTTCTCCAGAAAATAGAGTTTTTATAAGGTTTAGTCCATTTATTAGGTGGTATATAAAGTTTAATAAATGACTCATTGAAAAATTAGAAATGATGCCCAAATACCATGAAAATATGTTTAGCAAACATATATATAAATTTGGAGTGTGGTTAGACGTTTTTAAACAACACTAAAGAGACTATAGATAATATTTATCGGAAAATTCAATCTTTTCGTAGGGGTTAACCTACATATTTCAAGAAAAATTAGAAAAACTAATATTTTTGTTTTAATGCATATCTGCATCATGAACTAACATAGTATGAAGATTAAAGAGGTTTGAGAGCTTAGATATTTCCAAATTTATATATATGTTCATCAAAGATATATATATATATATATATATATATATATATATATATATAAATTGTAGTGTGGTTATCTATTTTTAAAAACTCTAAAGAGGATAAATAGTATAGATGGTATTTATCTGAAAATTCAAGTTTTTCGTAGGGGTTAACCTACATATTTCAAGAAAAAATTAAAAAAATAATATTTTTGTTTTAAGGCATATCTGCATCATGAACTAATATAGTAAGAAGATTAAAATGGAAAATTAGACATGATTCCCATGTACCATAAAGATATGTTTAGCAAACATATATAAAATTTGGAGTGCGTTTAGGTATTTTTTAAACAACATGAAAGATAGTAAATAGTATATATAGTATTTAACGGAAAATTCACATTTTTCAAGAAAAAAAATATAAAAATGAAAATTTTATTTTAATGCATAGCTGCATCATACACCAACATAGTATGAATATTGAATAGATTTGAGACCTTAAATGTTTCCGTTTCTCCAGAAAATATGATTTTTATTGGGGTTAATCCATATATTAAGTGATATATGAATGTTAAATAAACTAATGATTGGAAAATTAGAAATGATTCACATGTACCATAAGGATAAGTTAAGCAAACATATATAAAATTTTGGAGTGCGTTTAGGTATTTTTTAAACAACACGAAAGATGGTAAATAGTATATATATTATTTAACAGAAAATTCAGCTTTTTCATAGGGGTTAGCCCA